GATAGTATTTAACTTAACATTCCAAGAAGCTGGGGGGGGGTGTCAGCACATCTGATCCTAGGTGTCCTTGGATCTCCTTCCCTTCCACCATGGAAGTGACTAAACGTTGCGCTGTGCCCACTGCAATTTGTGTAGGAGAGTCCTGTGCAGACCAGCTATCCCACCATGGCTTTACGACAATAAGTAGCCGTACGAGTCTTACAGTCTTGCTGTTTTTCAGTAAGAACCTTTTTCTAACTGCAAACTTCGCTAAAGCAGTTTTCTCTTCTTGCCAATTATCCCTTGAATAAAGAATACGAGCCATGTTCTGCCCTTAGCTGCACCTGTGAAACCCTAGATTGCTTTCCAGGGATATAGTTGAGAGCAGAATTTGGCTTCCATAAACATTTACAGGTGATTAAGGCCCCTGCTACATATTACAAAATTAACTGGCCAACTGCACAATTAATTTAGATGGGACATACGAAGCAACTGTCCCACCATAAAAACCTCTCTCCAGCTATAAAGAGCCAACCAGCTACAAAGTGAGTGCTTGAAAATGTCTAACAAGTTTAGAGCTGGTTTCTACCCAGCTTTAGTTTGAAAATGTGGCAGAGCCCTGAGGATATCAGACCAGACTTGACTCGGTGGGGGAAAAAAAATCATCTTTTTATTTGTAAACTAAGACAATCTTTGTGGAGTTCCATGTTTACTATCTTCACATATGTTACAGTCCTTTTCAGCGTAGAAGTGCACTGTTAAGTAGTCAACTTTTATGGTAAAACAGAGCTGATACCTCTAAGAACTCTCAAATGCGCGGTTATAAAAGCTCTTAATTTTTTAATTTCAGCTTTACCTCAAAAAGTCACACCCAATCCTAATGCTATACAAGCAATAAAACTTTGATACTTTGTCATAGCCTCTTTTTTATGTGAACAGAGGAGGAGGGAAAGGACCATTGTAATTTCTGTAATTAAGAGGAAGATTTTCTTAGTGATAAAGCCAAAAAAAACCCCCAAACGTGGCTGATAACAGCATCTAAGAAAGAAATACCAAAAAGATTATTTGAAAACAGTACCTTTTTAAGCTCACAATTAAATCATGTTCTTTGAATTAATAATTTCACTGATAATAAACTGCCATAACCTGAAGCTGATTTCTCTCATCACCTCTTATTAGCAAAAAGAAAAAAGCAATTAAAAACAACAGATATTTACCTTTCTCAGAAATACTGCCCCAACCAGTTATGAAGCATTGTGTGCGGTTTTCAATATTTACATGAAAGTGAGCAAAGGGTAAGCAGATGGGCTGAATATAGTCACTGTAGCCTAAAGATTTATCTAGTTTAAATAATGCAATGTCATTTTCAAAAGTCTCCTTCTTGAATTCTGGATGGATAGTGATCTCTTCAACACTGCTTTTCACAGTATGTCTCTCAGGTTTAAAAAGGTTATTTACACCAATCACAGCCCTCCACCGGTTTGGGTCCCTAGAAGAGAATTGATTTTTTTTCACAACTAAAGTAAATTAATTACTTGATTGTGTAATTAAAAAAATGTTTTATTGTTTCATCAACTTTATGCTTGTTATTAAAATCCCACAATAAATATTTGGCACAAATTTACAAGTAATAGTAAGGGGATGACCAAACTAAGCACTCAAGTTGGGTCAAGTAACTGAACAAATATTGGCATGCTTTTTCATTAAACACAGCAATAGGACCAAAGTCCTTTAGAGGCTGATTTAATTTCCACTGAAGTCAGTGGGAGAACTAAACTTTTATTGACGTCAATGCAAGTTGGTCAAAACGTTGTCTTTGGTCTATTATGGAGAAAGGGTAGTCTGCAAAATTCTCCAGAGTATGAAGCGCAGATGTATCTTTTGACTGTAACCATTGTTATAATAATACCACTGCTTGCCAAAATAAAACTAAACAGACCAGTAATTAATACACCAAGATCACAAGATGAGAATCCTGGAGTTCAGTGAGGTCCTGATAACTGTTTAATATACTTGGGTTCATGATTATGTCAATACATGGCCACGCAAGCATGAGGACAATAATGTCATTGCACGAACTACAGTCAATGTGCAAACATTAAAAAAAAAAAAGACAAAGGAGAAAACAGTACTACAGGCTGTAGCCATGGATGTTGTTAATGACTCTCTTTGGAGGGTGCTATTACTATCCTGTAAAAGGTGGCAGTTTAGCCCCAAATTGTTGATTTTTGTTGAATAAAAGTCTTACAAAACATAGCAGAATGAAGATGAGAAAGTTGCTGGGATTAGAACTAAAACTAAAGTCTGCAGTGTTTGCAATCAATCATTTTGCTACCTGCAGTGAGAGCAACTACAGAGCAGGTGTTGATTGTAGCTGTATAGGTCTAAGGACGTAGACGAGGTTCTTTGGGTAGATGCAATATCTTTTTATTAGACCAGCTAAACAGTTGGAAAAATGGCTCTTTGTAAGTTTTCGGGCACCCTTCCTCAGGTGTAGGGAAAGTCTGGTGATGGTTGTGTAGTCTTGGGTGGAAACAAAGACCAGCCGACTCTTCCTATGCTTGAAGAAGAATGCTTGTGCATGGAAGCTTGCAAAGAACCATTTTTTCAACTATTTGGCTGGTCTAATAAAAGATATCAAAGCTTGTGGCAGAGGTGATATCTTTTATTAGACCAAGTAGATATTTGCAACAACAGCAACAAAAACAAACACAAACCCAAAACCTACAACTTCTTAAAAATGTTGGAAATAGCTAATTGGTCTTAGAAAAAGGTATCACCTCTGCTATGAGTTTTACTTATAGACCAATATGGGTACAGCTGGAGTACCTAATAAAAGATTTTTTTTCTTTTATTTTTAAGGACAATTTTTCATGTCTCAGATCAAATCAGCCAGATCAGTTCCAGATTCTTTCAATCATTCAAGAACCATATGAAGCCCAACTACTGGCAAGTATCCTCCACCCCAAACATTGCAGGCTGGGGCTACCGATACTTCCAAATCTTTTGGCAGGCATCCTACGTGCAGGCCCAAGCCTGGAGGCTTGGGGTTTGGATGCCCCTGAGTTTGCTTGCCTTCCGGCAATTAGGAAAGTCTCCCATTTCCATAATTTTCTTTAAGGAAAGTTTTTCATGTCCCAAGCCAAATCCATTCCAAATCCGTGAATTATTCAAGAACCGTAAGTGGCCCTTCTCCCGGCAAACGTCCTCCACCTGGGGCTTCAGATGTTTCCAAATCATTTGGCAGGCATCCTATGTGCAGGCCCAGGCCTGGAGACTTGGGGTTCAGATGCCCATGAGTTTTACGCTCCTGTGGCCGAGAGTGAAAGCTAGGGAGGAGTCTCCCATTTCCATAAAGTGGGCATAAAGCCAAGGTTAACCAGGCACCACCCACACAGGTCTGATCCCATGCCAGCAAAGCGGTCTTCCCCGGGTGCAACTAGGAAGCCATTGTGGTGTTTGCAGTATTTCCCCCTAGGTAAGCACAGTTTCTGAGCCCACAGGATTGGGGGTCAGGAACCGCTGTTCTCGATCCTGGCCTGTCCTGCAGCACGCAGCCGAGATGCTCCCAGAGAGGCGAAGGATGGGACAACCGTAGGGAGTCCTGTCCACAAAGGGGTGCGACCTCCTGCGATGCAGGGCCACTTTAGGCACCTCGCCTGGGTCAGGGGATACCTGATAAGAGACATCATATCTGCACCAAACCCCTTTGCACAGAGCAGAGCCCTGGGGACGGTGCTGCGCTCCCGGGGCAGGGGGGGGGAGAGGGCCATTTCTGCCCAGGACGTGCTCGGGGGTAGAGGAGCGCGAGGCTCGCGGCCGGCCCGACACCCACCGCCGGTCCCGCGCGCAGTGCGCGGCGCTCAGCACGGCGCGCTCAGCCACCAGCGCCCCGCCACACAGGTGCCGGAAGCCCAGGCCGGGCCGGAAGACCTGCAGGCTGACTTGCCAAGGCCAGGCTCCCAGCGGCGCGTCCCGGCCGCCCACGATCCGCGGCCCCGACAGCTGGTCCACGAGCGGCTGCTCCCCGCACTCTGCCCGGGGAAGCGCAGCGTTACCAAGCGGCCACCACGTGCCCGCGGGGCTCATGGAAGATGTGCGGGGGGGCGTGCGCAGGCGCAGTGCGGGAACAACGGCCCACGCCATGGTGCAGCCGGCTTACCCCGCCTGGCAGTCCACAGCGCCAGGACGCCGGCGACCGTCTGCAGCAGCAGCAGCAGCCCCAGCAGCGGGGCGGCGCCGAGGCCCGGCCGCATCCTGCTTCGAGGCACAAAATGGCAGGTGGCCGCTGGCGCGAGGTGTGAACCATGTGACGCGGCGGCGCTGGCGCGAGCGGGCGCCTGTTCTCCGGTGGCCGTTTCTGACGTCATCCGGCCCACTGCCTCGCTTTCGTCGGGTCTCGGGGCGGTTGGCGGGTTGTGCGCGCCCGCCCCGTGGTGCCGGGACCAGGTGTCACGCACACTTCATCGTCCTGTTACACATGACACCTATCCCATAGTACCGTCACGAATTGCACACACACACACGCTGCCCGTGGTACCCTCACAACATCTCACACGTGCACCCTCATAGTCCTGTCACAAAATCGCAGCCCCCCATAGTACTATCACAAAATCACACACATACATACTCTGCCCATGGTACTCTCACAAAACCTCAGACACCCTCATAGTCCTGTCGCAAATCACCCCTGCCCCATAGTACCATCACAAAATCACACACACACATGCACACCCTGCCTGTGGTACCCTCACAACATCTCACACATATCCCTCATAGTCCTGTCACAAACTCAGATGCACACACACACGTGGTACCGTCATAAAATCACTTTCACCCCCCCCCCCCAGTACTGTC